GGTGGCAGCTAAATTTGATAAATAAAAATATACTCTGCAGAATTATACACCCCGTTTCTGACTCCTAAATAACCCGACCAAAACATCCTTTCCCCATTCAATTCCTCTTTTCTGACACCTTTCAACAGCTGCCCTTCCCCAGCAGCCAAACAAAGGAGAAGCTGCAAAATGTGCATGTTGTGTGTGTGTTTCTTTTTTAAAGTTCCCGGAATCTTCTATCTTGTCCATCTTGCACCCGGATCAGCCTTGTTTATTTTCTCCATCTTTGTCTTAAAGGACATTCTGGCATTGTTCCTGGAATGACAACACTCGGCTATGTTCCTCTTTCCTTCCCTCCCAACCACTCCAGGGAGAGCATCACCCCAGATGAACCAGCGGAAGGGATGCACAGACAATTTGCACAAACGTACGCCAGGCTAGAATTGGTGCAAAGGTACCGGCAGGACCACGGAGGGCGGGCGTCTCCCACAACCCAGCCTTTTTGAAGTAAAAACAATGTCGGTTGAAAGCTGGGCCGGAAAATGCAAAGTTAGTCACCTAGTTGCTCCCCTTCTGCCTTAAAACCTGCCCAGACCTACGTTAATTTCGGCAGCCAGCCAGTCCTATTTTCCTTCACACATTCCCTCCATCTTTTTCCTGCTCCACCCAGTTTCACCTTTCCAGGTGACTGGATTAAGCACCCGCCACCCCCGCAAAATGCCTTCAGGTTTGGTCCAACTCTGAAGTCAAACCCTGCCCTGCCGCAACCCAAGATTTTAGCTGGGCCAGCTTTCGACTTTCCTTTCCAGCTCTTTTGCCTCCTTTCCACTCTCGGGGCAGGGACTAGTAACATGGCCAGTCCTTTCCCACTTTGCCAAGATTTCCCAATCTCTCCTTTCATCTTTTGCGCGCGCGCGCACACACACACACACAGATCCCTCATGGGCTGCCCCAAGGCTCTTTCCTACCCCACCCCAGAAATTCCTAAAATGCATTTAGGTCTCTGGGGTTGCACCTTCTTTGCAGGGTTCAAAAGCCAAAGGAGGGAGGGGAGGAGGGGTGTGTGTGGCTCTCTGACCTACCTGATTTTCTCACCCCCTAACCC